AAGATATGCATTGATATTCCATTTCTTTCAGTCCACAATTCGTACAAATGATGCACTGACTTCTTTGCACTTTCCACTGTGTTGTGCTCAGATTCCTGTCGATTTGAGATGTAAGGTGCAGTGTAAGGATGCAATGTCGTGAACACTATATAGCGCATTGTGTTGTAACTCAGTGATTCACAATCAACCTGCGGTGGCAAAGTCTCAGGTGCGCCGCGGTATTTTAGAATTGAACAGACAAGGAAATAAATAACTGACAAGACACTCAAACACACGTAAATAAATGTGAAACAATTAAGTAGACGGACATTGAAATGAAACAATTCTGAGAAGGGAGTACATGTAGCTAGTAGACCAATCGTCATCTGTTCCCATCTCTATGGTGATAGTGTCCCCCCCACTCGTGCACATGGTTTTCCTCCGGGTGCTCCGGCTTCCTCCCACGTGTATAAACTCTCATCATTAATTGACTGAAACCATCTTAAAATAAAAAAAAGCACAATGCAGGGGCCTCAGGAAACAGTCATACGACTCAGTGTGGATTTCCTGGATAAATAAGTAAACAATAATTCTTAGAATTGTTATTAATTAACACACAGAGTTAAATTAAATCATTAACTAACTCACGGACATAAAAAAACAAGAAAATGGACACAGACATTGAAATGAACCCCGCAGACACAGAAGCCCACATAAAACCACGAAATAGATTAAAAGGCAACCATCCTAACAGTTACAAGTTAAACAGAAAGACTGACCGATGCACACAAAACACACGTCCCCCTCTTAGCAATTTGGCTGAGCCAGGTGCCCTCCGGGTGAGAGATTAAACCCAGGTGCCTCGCAAATCTTCGTTTCTCAATCGAGTCCGCAATGAGGCCTGGGGGTAATACACCGGACAGCGACTCAAGCTATTGTGAAATTCCACATTTCCATGATGGCACCAAGTTCGTAGCGCGGTGTATCACTTTGAGAAAGACAGACTTGACGAAACCACTCCTGGATGAAGATCCATCGCGGCCGCTTGATTGAGTGTGCCGTTTCATGAAAGATGTTGATAAGCACTTGTATTTGATGATGCTTTGACTTGAAGCTAGATTTCTTGCAAAGCAGATCCGTTGCCTTGCTGGCATCGTCCTTAGTTAAAAAGGATTTGATATATTTATTGGTGGGACCAATTTTACAACATTTATGTAAACTCATAAAGAGGGGATTTTTTTGTTGTTGGAAAGAATGTGTACCTCATAAATTACACATTCTTTCCACTCACACTTAAATGAAAAATATACGGCATTGATGAAAGCACGATTGTCTTAACATATGTCCAATCATATATATTATTGCGCACTTGTAAAATATTTTGCATACATTTTGATGGAAGCAGCTAAAAAGCTGGTGTCTGCTCACATGTGTGTCTGACAGGGCACGAGTGCAGGGGGGTGGGGGGCAGTAGGATAGTGGTTAGCGCTGTGCAGCGATACAAACCCGGCGACCCGAGTTCGATTCCGATATCAGTGATGATTATCTGAACCGGTTCAGCACATACCCTAGGTCGACTCAGCCTCAAATGATTACCTGGTGTGGTGTGCAAACATCGCCGCTGGGGAGACAAAGGACGTGGTGCTGGCCACCCACCTTCTCGCGTGTTGTGCCGGCCTTCATAAGTCCTCGCAAAGAGCACTTGCCCCAAAAATATGTTAAGGCTATATGGGGGATATTTGTCTGACAGGGCTTACATGTTGGTGGTTCTGATTTACTGCCAAAATTCCACATTCGTATGGTGTGGCCCAGTCAATCCAAACGAAACTACTGGTAACTTTCCACCAAGTGGTACTCTTTTTTTATTATTCTGAGAAAAAAAAAATAACTGAGTACAGAAGAGCATGCAAGATTACACTTGCGATCTTGCGTGTTTTGCTAAAGCATATTGTGTTCGCACCGACTAAGGCCGGCTGGTGACAAGAGAGGGCAGTGTCGCTATTGCTAAGCTTGGCTTAGCGATGATACTTACTTTTCCCCAGTGCAGGGTAAATCAATCTGCAATTAAAACAAAGAGTAAATTGTACTTCATTTAGTGATTGCTTGTGTTCTTATCATTGAACATCTTGATATAATTTCCCTCGGTTAAATAAAGGACAGTTACTTTTTGATTCACTGCAACAACCCTGTTTTAGCCATCAATCTTAAACTCACACGGACCACAAATAGCAAACAGAACAATAACTGAGGACCAAGAGAAGAATCACTTTTCCATCTGCTGCAATTGTAAGTGGGTTCAGGGGGATGGTAAGTTGTGTTTGTTCACATCTGGTTGCAATCTAACACAAAGGCATTACAACTCTGTACACGCCATCAAATTTAATTGTTGGAATCCTTTGAAAATATTTACATGTTTTTATAGAAAATTATTACCTCTCCACAAACCTACCCACCCCCTGAAAAAAAAATCTCCATATCTACGATATTTATATTTATGTTTTACGATAACAATTGGGGTTTTAGGCATGGGTTGGATGTTATATGGCCCCAATATTAGAGGTGGCAGGGTGGCTCTGGGTGAATATTATTGCGTGTCAGAACGCTAAGCTGCCCCTGCTGACTGAGATCCTGGATCTGAATTCAAGCAGCCAGATGAGTGAAGAAGCCTCGCTCGTGTGAGTTACTTTGATGTTCTCAATGTGGTCATCCGTGACTGCACACCAGTGACGAAACAACAGCAGATAGCACCACTTTACACGAGCTGTCAAACCTCGCCTTCATGGAGGTGTTAGTGTGAAGCCTGCACTGCATGAGCAAAGTTCCCGCGGGGAAGCCGAAGTGCTTCCTCTGCAGCAGGGAACTGAATCTGAGCCTGCAGAAGATTAGGATGTAGATGCCACCCTCATAAAATAGGCCCATAAGTACAGAGTGGCCCAGATGTCTTGTGACCCCCCAATTGTTTTCTAACATTTTGTCCCTCGGCATCGTCATTTATGTTCTAAATAAACCTTACTTAAAAGAATAGTTTTAGATAATTAAATGGGGGTCACAAGACATCTGGGTTACCCCGTACAGTGCATGGAACCTGCTTATTTTTTGTCTCGGCAAAACTGGATGCACCCGTGGATCCATGCAGCTATCCTTGCTCTCGAGGCAGTCTGCCTAGTTCATCTGACTGATGGAATCACAATGTATAAAGCGGCCGCGTTACGCTTTAGTGGCGCTTAGCGGTGGATCATTTGCGTCGGATGTTTCTGGAGGGCGTGGAGCAAACGGTGAAAAAAACCCACCGTGTGTTTAAAGTTAAACTCTGCGAAAAGGGGGCTTTGATTTGGATGGCCTCATGCCACTAATTGGAGGCTTTTTTTTGGAAGCTGCACACATGGCTCGGTGCACAAGGCTCGCACGGCTTTCAAGTCCATTAGCAATGGCACATCCCCGAAGCTGGCTGACACCTGCCGGCCCCTTCGCGCTCACGCCGGCAGCTGTGCATCTGCCTCGAGTCACGCGTTGACCTTTACACCGTCACGATTTTTCCACGGCCGATGCACGCGGTTGAGGAAAAATCAATACGGCAAAAGGAACGCACATCTAAAAATGAAAAAAAAAGTCTGCATAAAAAAAATAAACTCAACTCGGAAAATGTTTGCCGGTATAGACAGAAGACCAACGCGCGTGCCGGGTTAATCACGGAATAAGAATGGTGTGCTAAATGCTGCACAAACATTTATCTTCGCCACTACTTCAGCCCACCGGTGTGTTGGAGAGTAAATACACATTTACAATTTGAGTACATTTCGCTGGTAATTACATCCAGCATCATCGCCCGATTTACTCTCCGACACACCGGTGGGCTGAAGTAGTAACTTTGTAATTTTGTTTACGTGACAAATCCCTTACTAATTGGCTGTGTCGGGTGGAGGGTTACGACGCATTTATACTTACGCGATCTAACCCAAGAACCTTTATTATGTACAAGCCCTGTTGACTTCGTTGTATTCATCTGCATATATTGAGCCAAGCCGTCTACTCACCATCACTTAAACTTACAATACAATGAATGTTTTTGTTCGCGAGTTCTTAACAACGCTCTCCAGAGCCAATTGTTTAACTCGGCTATAAACATTCGATATATTATCAGAGTATGCTTTTTGTTTGCATTCTGACCACAGGCATTGTGTTTAATGCAGACATGATTCATTGTAAAAGGTGTGAGTTTGGTGTTTTAACATCTTAACACCTGTTTTGTTGCCAGAAAAAAGGGGAAAAATATTATCTAGGTTAAATAAAGCAACTTTAGATGATAACATAGCTTACATTAACTGTACTTGCAAATGATTGTCAAAGAGAGACAAAGTTGAACCCATGTTTGTCAAATGCATTATTTCATGTGTGCTGCCTATAGCCATCGATGTACTAATATAGTTAAAAAGCTTGTGTTGAAACTTTCAAACAAGTCACCAGGTTCTGAAAGAATATTTATTGGACAATGCTTATCTTTGCGGTTTGAAGCCAGTGAAGGAAATTCCATTTTATCTTGACAAAGTTCAGTCTTTCAATAAAAAAGTCACGACTTCCAATCAAGTGGTGCTTAAAATGTGGTAGCTATTTTATAGGCCCGATGGGATGGGTCATCCCCGATCAGGATTATAATACATGTCTTTAGTCGTGAGCTCAACATTACCAACCGAGCCCTCCTGATGACGAATGCCTATCCTGTATTTGGTCTTTAATGAGTATGCATTTGATGAATTGTCACAATTTAGGATCATGGTGCAATTCAAAACATCCTCTCTTTATGTGAATTTAGCAAAACGTGGTGGTAGCAGGGGCCGTACAAACCAATTACAAAACATATGAATGGAAAAAAAATAAGAGTTATTGCACACTATTTGATGCATGCCTTGCAAGTGTAAAAAAAGTATCTTAATCGATGCATCATTACACCCCTTATGCCTATAAAGGTATACAGAAAACCACCCGCGTCACACGCATTTGTAGATGGGAAAAATAGACAATTGCACAGTTCTCTCTTTATTTCCCACAGATATACACCAACGGACAGTGTCTACTGAAACTTAAATAACGTATATTTACAGAAATGCACATTTTACACAATTCATGGGATAAGTGGAGACCTCTCAGTAGCCAAAATTACAGTAGGTTAAACCTGCTCCCAGGATGATGCCTCTCACATACAGCAATCACCCACCATCGTGTCCACTACGGCGAGCCTGATGCACACCTTTACTTGGACTTTAGGTTCTACTCTCTCAAGTTCGAATTTAGGTTCTACTCCAAGCTGTGCTGTTTGGCTTTCTATACGAATGCAGCACATTATTCCGTTTCATAGCATCTGAACCATGTCATTCTGAATGACCTGCATGTGAAATCACGAAGCATTTTCCTGTATTCTTTAAACTATGCAAAGTTGCATGCATTTTTTTTAAACAATACAGAGTGGCAAGTGCTCAAAGCTAAATGGATAAGTCAGTGTATCGTACATTATTTGACAATTAAGCTTTTCAGGAGCCAGGTTTGAGCCAATCAAGTCATCATCAAATTTAAAAGATGATTACATGACCACCTGAGGTGGGCACACAAGTCATGAACCATGGTTTTGGCCTAAGTGCTCAAACATAGGCAAAGCATTAACCCACAAAGACAACCAGCCACTTTTGTAATTCCAATCGTTAGCAAATACCCAATGAGATGTCCTATTTTGGTGCATTCTGATATTAGCTACTTCATAATTTATTTAGCACCATATGCCCCAAGAGTGGTTGGGCAATTCTCATAAGTTGAGGCTCTAAACCAGGAATGGTTATTCCAAATTTGTATAATGAAGATCAGTCTCTCCATAGGACAAGTTTGGACATCGCACATAGTAGAAACTTCTCAACCGACCCTGGAGAGACAACGAATTAAGTAGACTCCTGACCAAACTTTGAATCCATGAGTTTCCAACTTGGAAGTACAGCGCTTCGTCACATGCAGTAACTTTAGGGCAATGCAAGGGCAATGCAAATTCTTATATTAAAATAAAAAGCTATATAAAAAATGCTCTCTCTAACCTAAGCACACGAGCAAATCCCAACTCAAGATAAACTAGCGCTCGCCGTAGTACACATTAGGATATGTGCACAGAGATCTCGAATTCAACACTACGTCAAGTTTGTTCAAAAAGACATCAACATTACAAAACCTAACTACGACTGATAGCCATACAACATAACCCATACACAGTCCAGTAGGGAGAAAGCTAATCAAATACTGTATTACTAACATTAGATTTTGGTCTTTTACACTTTTAAGGATTGTTTTTACAGCAACACATTTTACAGGACATTATTTAGAACTGCCAATTCAATTACGTATAGTAAGCTAATCAAACATTAGACAATCATTTTCCACAAGTGGTTTCAATGTCAAGAAGAAATAATTTAAGAAATCCTGACAATGTCACAATACTGTATTTTTAGCATGTTCGTCCTAAAAACTAGCACTACACTACAACATGCAAGACATATGAGCCATCATCGGTGAGAAATATATTCCGCTAACTGCTATTCGCACACAATACAGCCGTCTACAATAATTACTAAATCGCTCAATACATTACAACGCTCAGTTATGATTTCACTGAATTGTCTTAAACTGGTTTGGTACAGGCAACACAGAATGTAATTCCAAGCATCTTGGATGAGGCCATCATTGGGCAATCATTCAGCAGTGTAAACAATGGTTGTTTAAAGGATCGTTCATGATTCCATGAATTTGTGAGACAATGGCTGCAAACCAATGGCAGATACGAGTGAAAACACCAGCATTTGGAAACCAATAAACCCTACACAACTGTACAAGGCCTCAAATCTGGCCTCAACATATAAAAATGCTGTTAAATGAATAAAATATCCTGTTTAATCATATGGTGCATAATGTGATACTGCTCTTGAATTATGTGGTATCAATTTTTTTTTTTAAATAACCTGGATTTATTTAGCAGCAGTGGATAACACAAAGCATGCTTCAATAGCAATAATAATAAATGTAACCTGGTTAAATGACTTAAGATACATGTCAGAATTATTTGGTTTGGTTCCATTTTAATACAAGCCACAGCAAAAAAACACCCAAATTTATATGCGCACCTTACTATGTGTGCATCCTGTGTTATTTGCATGGGAATTGTTGAGTGAAACCTTACATTCACCAAGAAAACAAACGTGTACAAAGTTTAGATGACCAAAAAACACTATCAAGGTGTGGGTGGCAACTGCAATGACAGCACTGATGAGAGCATGCGGTCCAGCCAACCACGGCACACCATGGGATGCTTCGTCACCCATTACAGCACTCGGACCAATTCCTGACCAGCAGATAGGGGCACGCAAGGTCAAAAGGGGTTTCCCCCAGACAGCTCATCTTACCTCTTGTGCCCAATGTTTCTGTGAAGTGTAACACATCCTTTTTTGCAGAAGGAACATCGCAAAAAAGGGAATGTGACACAAAGCACAGTGCTGTGGAAGAAATGCCTGTTGACCATTCTGCGATACTAGAGCACGCCGGACTGTTTTTACTGCAAGCCAATTCAGGTTGTGTTTAATTTGAGCGTGTTACTTTTTAAGTAAACATATCAACTTTAGCGTTAAGTGGCCAGCAGAAGTAACGCCCGTGCTGCTGTGCAAGTCAAACTGATAAACTGTAATACAGCAATGAGAATACCTTTTTGCCTTAGATTATATGTGCATGCAGAATTAGGTAAGGAATTTTAAAATAGAATGTGGCAATAAAGCCAAGTAAGTTTAATCAAGAAAAGGATGTTGCAATTGGTGTAAGACGATGGGGACAGGTTACCGAGGCAAACAATGGAGTGGGCACTCAAAGGTCAGAGGCCAAGGGAAATACCTAAAAGCCAGATTGTGAGATTACTGCAAGAGCAGATTTTGGTGGTCAGGTTGTCAACTGCACAACAGCTGCGGGATCTAGGAGTGGCGAGGAGCATTGGCATCGATGGTAATGGCCGTGACGACCTCTTGAGCTTGTTTCCGCCGTGTACTTGCTACTGTGCGACGGTGCAGTGGCGCGGGGCTATGAGAGCACCCAGCTCAGCGGCACCCACATGGTCTCCCTCTCCAGCGAGTCTGCGGCGGCGCGCAGCTCGCGATACGCCGCTGCCAGCTCGTCGTTCACCACCGTCTTGTCAAACAGGTAGCCAAACTGAGCCTCCATCCGTGCCGCCGTGCCCAGCATTTCCTGGAAGTCCTCATCCTGCACCCGAGTGGGGGAGCGGGTAGGGATATAGGTAGGATTCTGTGTGAGTTGTCCTGCTTCCTGCATATTTCTACTACGTCACAAAACCACCGGTGTCGAAGTCACCGGCATCTGTGTAGGCTGCAAGGGTGTGTTAAGTGTGTACGCATTTATTTAATTCTACGAGATCTCAAAAGATCCTCCACCAATGAAACGCTGTCTTCCATTAACCTAAGACACCCCATTTGTTACCCATCAAGGCTGAACATCGTGCGAAGAGATTTATTTAAAATACTAAATGTCAAAACTATTTGCTAAAATTCTGCACTCCCAACAACAAATGTATTTCCAATTCCATTTCAGAAAATTGGACCACTATGTTTCCAAGAGGGGAAAGAAAAAAAAGTAACTGCGTTCACATTTTGTCTTTTGGATTGGAAAATAAACATTGGACTAAGGGTACAGAGTTGAAATAATTAATTAGATATATAATTCTCCAAACAATAGCATCAAACACAATCAAAAACATGCATACAACATTGCACAGAGCATAATATGGCATGTGAGCACGTGCAAAACACAGAACTAGAGCATGATAAATAACTCATAAATCAAGGGACTTCCAATTATGCGCTTTGTTAACTCACATAATCCATTATCGGCCTATCCAATTATCCAAAATATTTGCTTATCCTCACCCCATTTCAGCACAGATTATGCTTAGGTTCATCTATACACACATGCACATACACATGCATGGGCTGCTCCTGTGAAGAATGTCATTTCATAGCAGTTTTCGCACTGATGCAATTTACAGATTAAGTTGCTATATATAATTGTATGGTAGTTCAGGAGTACATAATCCTAAATTTTTAAATGCCCTACAACAACATTATTATAGCTATCTGACTTGTTATAGATTCCCAGGTTTTCTTTGAAAAATAAACATGGATTTGTTCTACATGCCATTCTGACCCGTTGGCACGGTGGTTATTTGTTTTTCAATGGAAAGTTACACGTTAAAATCCCAATCGGTGTCAACTCAGAGCATCATCCCTCTAGCATCTATAAAAATGAGCACACTACTTGGTCAGACGTCAACAGTGGTCATCTCTTTGGAGAGACTGCCACCTGGCATATACATTTGGAATTTCTACCACTAAGATCACCAAACGTGACAAGGATTGCCCCAGTGCATTTTTAACGAAGGAGACACTTTTACTTGACTTGTGTACAGTGGCCAAGTATGAATGCAACAAAAAACCCACGAAGCTTTTCCACTTGTGTGGCGTAAAATACATGTTAAACATTGTTTCCACATATGCTCCCCGACCATGATAATTTTGAGTGTCCTTTTATTTTGCACAACTCTCTGACATCACCCACACGTTCTTCCCTCCACATGCAGCCTCCGCTAAATACATTTACTGAAGCTTGGAATTCACTGAAGTGTTTTTCCCCTTCTTGCCAAGCTATTTGAATTTCAAGCAAGGAGGCACTTCTTAGAACTTGGATGCAGCACAGTCATCCTTTATTAGGATAATACAAGTAGCGTGCATTCGGTAAGGTATGCCATCACTGCAGCAGTAAAAATGCATAGACCAGACTGACCTCCCAGTGGTTCGGACCTCATTGGCAATGAGTGTGAAAAAAACACATACCCCACATTACAAAGACAAAATACAGGGCTGAGAATTTCCGGAACTAGATTATTATTCCATGAGACTGGCGTGCATTTTGCATTAAAGCATTCCTCTGTCCAGCTCTTGGGATTGTGACAGACATTCGATTGGCAGCAAGGAAAGGGAGCATTTTAAGAAATAAATAATACAAAACCTGCCAGTTGCTGAACGAATCCAAAATATATTGTACTTAAGAATACACTAGCACAGGCTGAGGCTTGCATACGTAAATTACATTAATTCACTTCCACTGTTGTGTGTGAAGAGGAATGTGAGTGGGGATTATTCCCTGGTGATCCATCAGTAGCAAACAACAAAGATCCAGAAACGTGCTTTGAGCATGGTTCATTTTACTATGTGCTAATGATAAGGCCTGGTAAACACCAGCTATATTTATTCAATCTACTCCACAGTTGTGTAAATCTATGCCAATTTAAATGTCATTAATTTTACTGTCATATTCAAGCATTCCATTTCAGAACCATGTGGAGCAATTACACAACGTTTTTTTTCATGGTTATACATTTTCTTCTGTTTTCTTTAATTGTTCAGGTTTCAGTTTATAAAAATTTGAGGTGACCAAGTGGCTCAGTGGGATAGCATCTCTCAAAGCACTGATGAGTTTACTGCTTGACATTTGAGATGTGGGTAGTCACTAGAAATTAAGAGGACTCTACATTCCAGTCTCGACATGGCCAAAGATATATGAACAACTAACTAGCTGTACTACCCGGCTACACCCGGGACTTGGATCCACCACACGCGGCCGCCTTTGTCTCACCAGTGGCGATGTTCACACACCACAGCAGTTACCCGTTTGAGGCCGAGTCGACCTAGGGGAGGCCCAGGAGCAGTATGAAATAATCGTCACCGGTGGTGGCCGTGAGCGGGAATCGAACTCGGGTCGCCGGGTTCGTAGCGCGGCGTAGCGCTAACCGCTCCACTACAATGCGTTACGCTTCCACGTGCACGGGTCACATGACAGATTTGACGTCACAGCTCATTTGCCGTGCAAAAAATATATATTCATTATTGACCTCCCCCCCCCCCAAAAAAAGTTTTATTTTTATTTTTGCATGGTGGAAAGTACCCACGTGGCAAATTTCAAGTTTGTTGCATTTCGGGAAGTACGCTAAACATTTTGAACAGACACACATTTTCACAACTTTACCTTTGATATATATGGAGATAAAAAACCTACCAAAGTAAAATAAAAATGACGCCACACTTAATTTGACCCAACTATCGAGAAATATAAATATTGTAAGATAAGGAATAATATATGAATATGCACACCTGAAGGAGGTCAACATTTTCATCGTGTTAATAGGTGAATTAAAGAGCGATTGGTAATGTCTTCCAGGGTCATTCACCAATGTTAAGTAAGTAAAGTGTGGTTCTCCTGGCGAGGAATTCTAAAATAGTATGCAAATACTTAGCATCTTACCCCGAGGTTGACAGTACAAATGCAGAGTAATTTCGGAGGAATATGCTGAAACTATGAAACATATAAATATAATGCAAAAAAACCAAGGCTGAACGTGCAAGCAACTGCAGTTGACACAGAAGAGCTCATTTAGATAAACGCATGACCAAAACAAGAACCTTCTTATTCTATCTTGGTCAAGATCTATTGTACATGATACCATAATTTGCTATATCATAACTATACCTTGAACAAATGCCCTTTTACAGACTACTCAAAGCACCCATGCAGTTATTTGGTAAAGCACTCACCGTGAAATTACGGGCCGGGTTTTTGTCTCCGCTGGACTTGGCTGCCCCTCTCGTCTGTCGGAGACGCTCAAGAGAAGGCGGCTTCACAAAGATCACAAAAGGCTTGAACTCTGGCGTCCGAATGGACTTGATAGCCTGGCAGGGGCAAAGGTCAATCACATGGCAAATGTGGTTGCTGTTCGTCAAAATTTAAGCACTTTATCAGCCTCAGCAGTCGTATGTGCCAGAGCATGGTGCGGGATTAGTGCGAGTGATTGTCATGCATGCGCATACATTTAATTTCTGGTAGAGTTAACATGTTACTCTATTTACAGCATCCATCAAGGTTCATGGTGATGCCTCAATTCTTTAGAACTGCCTTTGGTGTTTTATTTTGTTATCTCTTTCCCCTGCACCTCTGATAAGCAAGGTTGTCTGAAATAATTAGGCAGTTTCTACAATTGGCAACTAGGCACCAGTAACGGCAGTAACACAAGTAGGCTGCCAACATATCTATTCGCAGTTTAAGTGCTCTCCTCTCATATGCATAGGCTCTGCAGATTATCACTTTTCATTCCATAAGCAAAATACTCATTAAGACATTAACCAAACATCCGAGTGTAGGATGTTCTTCAAAAATAAGATTGAGGCTGGATAAATGCCTGTTATTATTCCTTACAAGTTTAAGCCAAGTGTAAAAAAAGCACGATCATTTCTCCCCAGTTCACATAAAGAAATGTACTTGCAGCATGCCAATTGAAACATCAAGTAAAACTCGTGTAAATAACCAAAGGTGGGCACAAATGGCTGCTCCTCCTCACCGGGGGGCTCACGTCCAGCAGGCACACCTTGCCAGCATTCACCACCGAGCGAATAGCGTCCACGCTTGTGCCGTACAAGTTCCCCTTGAACTCGCCGTACTCCACAAACCTGGATAGGGCATCAAACGCTTGGGGGTTCACTCACACCTCGCTTCAACTAAACCGCCTTTAACTTTTAAATGCTCGATCCAAATATTAATGTTCGTATTGTCCAAAGAGTGTACGTTTATGACAGCACGTGTATAACTGAATGAAAGCCAAAATACCGGGCGTCTAAGGTAATGTGCGATCAAAGTGTCTCCTTGCTCGAGCGAGTGTGGGTCAGTGCTCATCTCCGTAATTTCTTCTGAGCCAGTGGTGGAAATGACACATTCCTACGGTGGGGGCCAGTCTCCTCAAAGGAAAAACAGTGTTTTGTAAAATAAAAAACACGCCTGGAAGAAATGCCCCAAGCAGCTTGTCGAGAGCTGCGTTTCTGCATTTGAAAACGTACTGGTCTCGAATGCGGTTGGTTTAAATGGTGAATGTTAAACACGCCAGGCAACGACTGGCCCCAGCGTGAATAAGTTCCCTCACTCGTCTGGCCGGCTTTGTACCAAGAGTGAAGGGAGTCAGAAGTAATGCACGTTGGCAGCATCACCTCTGATGCAATCACCTGTTGTTGTGCAGATCTGCCTCGAATAGGTGCCGAGACACAAAGTAATACTCCTTGCTGTCTTTCTCGTGGCTCTTCTTTTGCCGTGTAGTTGCTGCAAATTTAATATGCCAGTTAAGCAATGGAGCTTTAAGGAAAAAGTCAAGATTTATACACGTGGCAAATAAAAGTAGCTCCGCAGTTTAAAACAATTTAATTCCAACAGCGAGAAAACACAAGACTTCTCAATTGCGATTAATGTGCAGAGCAATTTCAGCATTGTCTCTGGATGAGTAATACGCACTTGGAACAGTTCCGCTGTAGAGGCTTGGGTCGCTGGCAATGAGTCTTCTTTTGAGCTCATTAATTCCAACCCCAGGTGGCCCTGTGAAGGATGCTATGTTAACAATAATCTAAAGGAGTTTCCAAAAACAGGCCGAAAACAAACCAGCGCAATGCAACCGTGTCATCGCACTGTGCGTTCTCCCAGCAGGCATTGGCCAAGACCTGTGTTAAGGCCAGGCATATACCAAGCACACTCTACACACAGAGATGCAGTCATGTGTGACAAGACAAAGTGCAACGGCCAGATATGAAGACAAAGTACAACAGCCACAGCTTTTAAAGGATGTGATTACCTTTGGCAGCATTGGAACATTTCATGTAAAAGACATCTTAAGAATGTAATATTCCATTCAGATCTGTTAAAGTGTGTCTTACATGGTTATACGATCAAAAGCATAATTTCAAAATGACTGTCACATTTAAATGTGCAAGTACATATCATTAAGCTAGAAGCTTCTGAAGTTGCTTGCTTTGCTTGAGTCCCACTCTCCGACTAAGACCTGCACAGTAACACAGATATTACTCCAACTTCGACAACCGTCTCTTAGCACTAATTTCCATGACCAGGCCAGCTTTAATGCAGCCCTGTGGGCACTTGTGCGATTGCTCACCGACGAGCACGATGACTCGATACTTGTCACCTGGCTGGTGCTGGTACTGCAGCACCTCCTCGTAGGTGGAGACCTCCGAGGCATCATACTCGGCACTGCGCTTGCTCTCGTACATCAATTTGCTCGTCTTCCTGCTCTGGCGGCTGAGCCGGAAGCTCCGGCGGAGACCGGCTACAGAGGCGTCCACATTGACACATGGACACAAGCGAATAAATCGTTAGCATTGCGTATTCACCATGGCATAGAGATGGACAGGTGTCAATCAACGAAGGCAAGTGCCTTTAAATGTTTCACTTATAGTGGCATATGACCTGTTGTAGTCAAAAAAACACGCCTCGTCCTTGGAGAAAAATCCGCGACATTTATTTTACTTGTTGAAGCACCAATGACAACTATGAACTCTCTTGCAAGCAAAAACTGCGTTCTTAATTTTCAAAAACATACTACAGTTATTTCCTTTTAAAATATAACAAAGGCAGTTTGTTCATTAAGACATTGCTGTGCCAAGGCCACACACTGGTCTATTACTACTAAATATATTACTGCATCTTTAATAATTGATTTGCAAGGTGTTTAATACAGCTGGGCGGTGGTGGCGCACATCTGTAATCCAACACTAGAGGCAGTGAGGGTTGGTGGATCGCACATATGTTGTGAAACTCCCTTCCTGTAGGCATCAAGTTGCCATTCTCTGGCTCGCCAGGAGAGGATGGTACAGCAAGTAGATCAATCGCCATCTGTTTCCACCTCTACGGCAATAGAGTGTTGCCCCCTCGCGTTTTCTCCGGATGCTCCGGTTTTCCTCCCACACATATAAACACTTAACATTAATTGGCTGAAAACATCTTAAAATAAACACTCAATGGAAATTATCATTACATAGTAATATAATTAGCAATTATATTATGAAGTAAAAATAATCTGGCAGCAAATAAAATTGTTGATTAATTATGCAATAGTTTAGTGACGATTGCACTGATAACCAGGATATGCAGACCAAGAATCTGTGTTAACTGTTGAGTTCTTTTTTCAGATTGGGGTTGAGAGTGAGATTTTACAAGTTAAGGAAGTTGAGGAACAACTGATTTTAACAATCTCTTTTTATTTCCATTGGTTACATGATTTCCAAAACATAAACAGCTGTTTTTCCTCTGTAAAAGCATATATCCCCTTGAGTGTGCTTACTCTGGCAATGTTGTTGGCTACATTGTTACTTTCACTAGATCAAAAAAGATGAAACCACATATTGCTGTGTAAGATTCTCACGCTGAATAACCCAATTATTTTCGAAGTATTGCTGTTATGAAAAAAAAAGTGAAATTTAAAGAAATTGTATACTTATTTTATAAAACTCATTATAAATGTGGATTACATAACATGATGGCTGGTATATTGTGAAATAAAGGTTGTACATTCCCACGATTTTATAAAATGGCTTTCATAGATTACAAAAAAACAATGTTGGCCTCATATTGCAGGTTTCATAATTTTTCAAGTTGGCTCATATAGATCTAAGAAAATGAATTATACTGTTTACAAAGTTGGATTTTTCAGTGTAGGAATGACAATTTACATTGTTGATCAAACGCGATGTGTACATCCCATAATATGATTACTCTGTATGACATATCTGGAAGGTTGTGACAATAACTCAGAAAAATGTCGTACAGTGAGGGAAAAAAAGCATTTGATCCCCTGCTGATTTTGTACGTTTGCCCACTGACAAAGAAATGATCACTCTATAATTTTTATGCTAGGTTTATTTGAACAGTGAGAGACAGAATAACAAAAAAATCCGGAAAAACGCATGTCAAAAATGTTATAAATTGATTTGCATTTTAATGAGTGAAATAAGTATTTGACACCCTCTCAGAAAGATTTCTGGCTCCCAGGTGTCTTTTATACAGGTAACGAGCTGAGATTAGGAGCACACTCTTAAAGGGAGTGCTCATAATCTCAGCTTGTTACCTGTATAAAAGACACCTGTCCACAGAAGCAATCAATCAGATTCCAAACTCTCCACCATGACCAAGACCAAAGAGCTCTCCAAGGATGTCAGGGACAAGATTGTAGACCTACACAAGGCTAGAATGGGCTACAAGACCATTGCCAAGCAGCTTGGTGAGAAGGTGACAACAGTTGGTGCAATTATTAGCAAATGGAACACAAAAGAACTGTCAATCTCCCTCGGCCTGGGGCTCCATGCAAGATCTCACCTCGTGGAGTTGCAATGATCATGAGAACGGTGAGGAATCAGCCCAGAACTACACGGGAGGATCTTCTCAATGATCTCAAGGCAGCTGGGACAATAGTCACCAAGAAAACAATTGGTAACACACTACGCCGTGAAGGACTGAAATCCTGCAGTGCCCGCAAGGTCCCCCTGCTCAAGAAAGCACATATACATGCCCATCTGAAGTTTGCCAATGAACATCTGAATGATTCAGAGGACAACTGGGTGAAAGTGTTGTGGTCAGATGAGACCAAAATGGAGCTCTTTGGCATCAACTCAACTCGCCGTGTTTGGAGGAGGAGGAATGCTGCCGATGGCCCCAACCGTCAAGCATGGAGGTGGACACATTATGCTTTGGGGGTGTTTTTCTGCTAAGGGAACAGGACAACTTCACCGCATCAAAGGGACGATGGACGGGGCCATGTACCGTCAAATCTTGGGTGAGAACCTCCTTCCCTCAGCCAGGGCATTGAAAATGGGTCGTGGATGGGTATTCCAGCATGACAATGACCCAAAACACACGGCCAAGGCAACAAAGGAGTGGCTCAAGAAGAAGCACATTAAGGTCCTGGAGTGGCCTAGCCAGTCGCCAGACCTTAATCCCATAGAAAATCTGTGGAGGGAGCTGAAGGTTCGAGTTGCCAAACGTCAGCCTCGAAACCTTAATGACTTGGAGAAGATCTGCAAAGTGAAGTGGGACAAAATCCCCCCTGAGAAGTGTGCAAACTTGGTGGCCAACTACAAGAAACGTCTGACCACTGTGATTGCCAACAAGGGTTTTGCCACCAAGTACTAAGTCATGTTTTGCAGAGGGGTCAAATACTTATTTCCCTCATTAAAATGCAAATCAATTTATAACATTTTTGAAATGCGTTTTTCTGGATTTTGTTGTTATTCTGTCTCTCACTGTTCAAATAAACCTACCATTAAAATTATAGACTGATCATTTCTTTGTCAGTGGGCAAACGTACAAAATCAGCAGAGGATCAAATACTTTTTTCCCTCACTGTACGTTGGGGATGCGTTCAATAAGGTGCGACGAATATCGAAACGATGTCAATCAAAGCAATTTAGAGGGTAGGTGGAGGTGAAGGCTGAGGCGATGGATACGAGAAAGGACGGATGATGCTGTCAGCGACGTGTGGGTTGAGGCAACGCAAATCAGGATGTTGTATTAATAAAGTGATGACGTATTTGTGAAACGATATAAAATGGGGAGACATAAATCGGGATATTACTATATATATAGGAATGTCCAATAAGGATTCATGATCGTTTTAAATAACATATGTAAACACACAAAGGCTCTCGATTATTGGGATATATTGGATTGCTTTGTTTAATTATTTAATACAATTGCACAAGCATAGGTCACACCTGTTAAAGGTTACCAAGTAACAATTATGCTGCCTGATATGATTACCCCAGAATGGCATTATACAAATAATTATTGAGTCACTCGAGAAGGTCTTTAGGGCAAAAATAGTTTGCTGCATGAGAATCAAGCCAACGTTTTAAATCCTAAGAGATGGAATATATTGAATTAGGTGGAAAACTGTATTTCTATAACTTTTTTGTACGGTCATTGGAGACTGGGCTAAAAGCATAAACGTATGTACCACTTCCCAGACCACTGGGAACCAGATGCTGTCACCCAGGAGCTGCCCAGGAGCTGCCGAGGAACAGCACAAGGGCCCAGGTTTGTGTACAAGGTCTACAAAAACAATGCACCACGAAGCCCCATGGAGTTTGGCTCCTCAGACTCCACCCCACCCCTACGACCCACATCTATATTCTTAAATGTTATAAGTACAAGGAGTAACACAAGTATTACACTAATTTAAGTAAGAATATATTAATTTTGTATTTTTACACAGATCCAGGAAGTTAAACCAAGTCGGCGATGTCAATACATACAGGTCTCGTTTCTGAGCTGACTTTGTGATGTTGCAACTTGTTCTGGAGTAGCAGTAAACGTTTGTGGGCTAATAAATTAGTCCAGTGGTTTGGTTTTGGGACACCATGAGATTCGTTTATATAGGCTAGGCTGACATAGAAACACAGGTTTTTGGACCCATCCCAGTGTGAGCACATCAGCATGGTGCCGACTGGCTGTGGAAATGAGTCATCACTACCCTCGAGAAACTGGCTTAATCAGTTATCGAAAAGCCAGATTTGAATGCAGGATCTCAGCAGTGCCGGTCCAGTCATCTGACAGCCATTGTTAGGTCAGAGCTACCTGGCCACCTTGGGACTTCTGTCCTTCTCTACAAAAGCATGGAAGCGATGGCCAATGTGATGACCGGCCGTGAGGGAGAATGGGAGGTGGAGCGTCGGTGGGGGCACTGAGGACAGCGGGGAGGCACACGCATGCACGAGTGGCGATAAAGCTCTCACCGATATAAACTCCGTGGCCATCATACCCTGGATCTTCTGGACATATCAACAAGCACACCGAGCAGTAACAAAGTACAGGAGGAGAAAAAAAGCAGAGTTAGACACCAAGCCTGTCATGCAGAAAGAGACAGAGTGTGCGTGAGAAACAAAAAAATAACCACCAATGCAGACTTTGCACAGACAGCCAGCAGCCAGCAGTTAAGGAGACTTAAGATTTAAAATGAAAACCATAAATGAAACACCAAAAGTATAAATCAAGCAGCAAATGATGAGGACACCCACTTAATGCCTGCCAGTCCATGGCAATGGGTATAGTCATATGAATGCCAAGGAACATACTAGTGATGTGGCCAACAACTGCAACACTATACATAACCCTACCCAGTTATATTACTGAAACACGTTACGGGAACACAAATATTCTGGTTTATTGCAGCTGGTAAGGTCCAACTTATTCCCTTAAAAATAATGTATAAGGTTTATGTACTTTTAAGTATATTCACTGATTTTCACATGTTTGTTTATACGCTTTAAAATATGGAAATACCTGTTTTTAAATCCTCTGAAGACAAGCATGGGAAGAGGAAAGAGGTGTCAGTGATTCTGACAGGCTGTTATCTCGCTGTTATAACTGCTAAATAATAAGAACATAACTGCAACGCTGTTCGTCTTGGTGCATTACAGAAATGTAGACGTTAGGCACCTACCACATGCATAGGACTCCTCACCTACGGAAGCCATCAGGAGAAAGGGAAGTTCCAAGAGTTTTTAATGAAAATATACCAGAGGCAAGCTCTAATACGATTTGACACACAAGAGTCATCGCCAATGTTCCATAAGAATGCACATAAAACTGAAGCACTATCATATGCAAAACTAATTAGTTGTGAAATAATATGGCCTCAGAGATGTACTCAATAAGGAAAATAACTCATTAACCAATGTTGCAAATTTGATGAACTCATTTTAGTATTAACTGCCACGATTGCATAAATATTTGCAATTCAAACATCAATGTTGGTGATAAGATCTTTAATATTTTCGTCTCAAATATTACATTCCTAAAAGTTTAGCCCATATTGGAAATTCACACCACTGCCAAATACCATCATTAAAATTTAGTTTTCCTTTAAGTGTCAGTAAAATTTATCGTCAGATGAAAGCAAACAATTCATTATTAATGAGGAAACTGCATTAGTTGGGGTATGAGTTGAAAGGTTAGTTACAGAGATAGGAATGAACACAAGACACAAGAGTGGGAGGATAACGTATAAAAATGCAGTTTTCCTGACACCAAACAAGACAAAATGTGATTTTCAGAGGCCCATACTAACACAGATTTTGCCCCATCTGTACCGAATTGGGACAGCCCTGTCTGCATCACTCCTATAATCGAACCTGTTGTGACTGTAGCTGGCACCACTTCACAGCTTGTTCTGTTCTCACTTCAAACTATCTGCACACCTTACTTTACCATGAATCGGGCAGCGTGGTATTACACGAGTAAGTGATATACAGCCCATATTGGAAATGTTAAAGGTATTGAAATGTTTAAAAATATAAGCCCACTACAAAAAACAAAACCACAAATAAAATAGCATTTTCATTTTACTACAAATACCTATTTAATTGTGGAGCATGAAAATTACTATGTAAAAAAACAATGTAGTCGTTTCTCAAAAAAACTTTATATTCTATCCAAAACAAGTGCACTCAAAAGCCACATAAAATAAACACGCTCCAGACCACTGCCAAATACCATCAGCTGTTTTACAATAATCTCATTGTTGGAACAAGTATCATCGACAGTGCTCTCAGCTTCACATCAGCATTAGCCGTAGCAGAACGATTCTCAGGACCTATTTGCCAAACGCCCATTTTTGCTTGGTCCCACCTTACTAGCATTGCATAGCTATACCTGTATGTTGGTAAAGGCAAACATGCATGGCATTAAAGAGGGTGTTAAATGAGCATTATTGTAATAGTGGGAAAAAGTGAATCGAATGCTCAATAGAATGTTCCTGATTACACACCAGATGAATGGAGTTGGACCACGCACACACACAAACGGACATACCTTCTTCAACCGTGCTTACTGAGAGGCATGCAAAGGAACAAGGGATTTGGTGGTGAGCATAAGAGGATAAAAGGGAACATTGGCGTGACAGGAGGCAGGCAATTCAAACGCGTGCCGTGGAAGAACGTGACCCAAAAGGAACAGCAACCGTTATGTGCGGTAAAACGCCGTGACAGCTTTCATAGATGTGTGGCCAGAGCCTGAGCCGTGGCCATGACTTACACAATCTTGATTTACTGCTCTTCTGGACGATGGGTGGTGATGCCGGCTGTCTGGCTGCAAGCCGCCTACAACAGACAAACTGATTATTTTTAGAAATAGACAAAGGATCAACACAGCCGAACATGCAGCAGTGGCTCTATGCTCCGGGGAATTTTAGGAACCAGTCCAATAATGTATTTACACTTATTTAATAAAAAAATACTGATGAAAAGCAAACACACACCAAGTGAATGACTATAGTAAATGTACAACTGATGCCAAACAAGACTATGCAACCACCTGTACACCCTACACCAGTACCACTAGCACACCCTTCCATAATGCATAAACAGTACAACTCTAGCAAACTCCATACATAAGTTGGTTTGTTCATTACATTATTAACTTTATGAAGTTGTGAATTATTTTTACCAATTTATAATGGTATTTTCTTGCTTATTGTATGCCAATAAAAAAATAATCACGTGCCAAATGTGTTAGAATATTGCAGTTGTTCCTTGGTTGCAGATCGAACAACTCTCCTTATCGATTAGTCTATCCTCCACCTTCCCCCTGACTGTAAACGAAAGAGTTTTAACAACTCCTTAAAAACTACAGGCAAGTTATTGCTATTATGTGTTTTAACACGACTGACATTTCAAGATATGCTATATTTTCAAAAATGTGTTAAGAATTGCTGTACAGGTGATTAGGAATGTGCAAAGATACTTTAAAAAAACGTTCTAGGTTGTTCAAAAGCTTGGTAAATCAAAAGAAGCTATTCATAATTTTAATAAATACATGATTTGAACATTTTGACACCTGGCCTTTAGAATAACTAACATTTATTAACAAGGCGTTTCACTTTTAGGACCTCTGCAGGGCAATTAAGCTGTGAGCAAATATTCTCCAAGGCATGAGTAAATGCATGTTACTAAATGTAATCGTTAAAATTTGTTGCAAAATGCTGATGAACTTTACTTTGTTACGTGCAATCCCACGCAGATTGTTGCCATTGTAGAAAGCAAATGACAACTATTATATATATTTTTTATATTGTTAGAGCAAGTGATATAACACTAACCAATTAATGCACGGGGTGCACCCTCGTGGTTAACTGCAATTAATTTATGTTTTGCCTGGAACCCATTAAAATTTTGCCGTGAACAACCAACTTTTCAAAGTATTGCAGAACCACCAGACTCACACATACATATTGACATGCACAACCATGCATTTCATACGAGTCAACAATGTCCGATCTAAAGCACCCTCAAATGGCCAGTTCCATGACCACATGTTGTTAGCAGCACATGTCCTTGGGTAAAATACAGCTTTCTTAATAATAGGGTTTTTCCCCTTTTTTCTGGCAACAAAACCGAAACCTTTTTACAAGGATTCATGTCTGCATTAACCACAATACCTGCAGTCAAAATGCAAACAAATAACATACTATGATAATATATGAACACTTGGCATTCCCTACGAGCCCCAGTAACCAAACTTGAAATGTAGTAAATTCACAATAAACCTATTCACTCATCATCACCCAAAGCTACTGACAATGAAGTGCAGTTAACACCATGAATTTTGGCCAATTGCCATAAATCAAAGTTAATAATGGCAAGTCCCAGTTATTTAGCATGTACCCAAGTAATTTACCTTGCAGCCCATTATTCGGTCACCATGAACCAGCACTACTCACTGTGAAACCTTGTCACTTAGCAGAAATATCAGTAATGCAAACTGAACCTCTGTCATTAACTATCTCTTCCGCATCTGTGGAAGTAAACAGCTATTCCACTTCATTAGACCTCTTTTGCCAGTACCAAAATATAATAAGGTTTTTCCCCTTTTTTCTGGCAACAAAACTGAAACCTTTTTACAAGGATTCATGTCTGCATTAACCACAATACCTGCAGTCAAAATGCAAACAAGAATCCTCGTAAAAGGTTTCAGTTTTGTTGCCAGAAAAAAGGGGAAAAACCTTATTATTATATTTTGGTACTGGCAAAGGAGGTCTAATGATACAGCTTTCTTGTTCATGCAAAAATGCCGCGTGGTCTCCTTAAGCTTTCGTGGTGCACACTGACCCCTCCTGGACAAACTGTGCCTCTGTGCTCTTTTATAGCCGATGCATCAGCATTTTTATATTTCGATTTAAAGCTTTCGTGACTGCAAGGATTAATCTTCTTTGGTTCTTTCGGTAAAGTCACGTAGAATGAGAATAAATTGATAAAATAAAATGACACAATAAAAATCTCACGACGTTTCGGCCACAACACAAGCGGCCTTCATCAGGTGAAGGGACGAGACTATCTGGAGGACAGTGCTGGAGCGAAAACACAGCCAAGCTCCGACCACGACCTTTAAGCCTGCTAAAGTTGAGGCTTAAAGGTCGTGGTCTGAGCTTGGCTGTGTTCGCTCCAGCGCTGTCCTCCAGTCAGTCTCGTCCCTTCACCTGATGAAGGCTGCTTGTGTTGTGGCCGAAACGTCGTGAGAATTTTATTGTGTTATTTTATTTTATCAATTTATTATTTTATTCTTATTCTACGTGACTTTACCGAAAGAACCAAAGAAGAGCATTTGTATACTTCTTTATTACGACAGGACAGCAGCGGTGAATTAAAACCGCAGGAAGAAAAAAAAACAACTTTTTTCAAAATGTTTCTTGCTGTGGTTTTCACACCTGATGATGATTGCTTGTGTTGCAGTCGAAACGCCGTCAGAATTTAATTGTTTTATATTTTTATTATTATATTGTTTCCCTTCTACGTGGTGACTTTACCGAAAGAACCAAGAATATGAATCCCTGCAGTCACGAAAGCTTTAAATCCAAAGATGTGACCATAGTCAAAGTGTTGCAATAACTGGCCGAACAGAGAAGACAGGATACGCATGTTCAAGGGGTATTACATTGAATCGCCATGGTTAACATTCGTGGCGAGCAATATTTGAAGTAGTTCTGGGCTCCAACTTACAAACCACACTGGTTAGTGAAGAGTATCGTCAACCAAACCTCCATGACTGGCGTAAAGCATGCGAGCCTTCATCCAATAGTCGATTAACATGTACATACACAGACCATTTGTTAATTCACTTCTGGATAAGGGACTACACCCATGCCCCACCAGCCATGAGGGTTATTTGATCTTACTTCACCATGTAGGTCAGTGCAGGTTGGTGAGGGGAGTATGGAACAACAATGGATTTTGAGAGTGAATATAATGAAGAAATGTACACTATTATCATCACTGCAAAACAAATTGTACTTTATAATAAAATAAACTTGTATGCTTATTCGTAAAATATTCAGAAGCATGGTTGTAATTTAAATGCCAAGACAAGAGAACCGTAAAATGCATGCTGTTCTGTTTGCATTGGAACTTGCTCATTATCCTGCAGATAACATCAGCAGACCACAGAACACTATGTCGCTACTTCTGGCACCGTCTCAGTACGGATGTAATTTAAAATGGCGATTTCATTACGTCAAGTCATTTACTATCCTGGAAAATACAATAGCCTTCAGTGCAAGATGGCGACTTAAACTGAAATCTTTGTCACATGAAATCACACCAAGGACACCATATCAAGGTCAACAAGAATTGCACAACATTATTTCTAGAGATGAAGCTGGGTAGCGTTGCTTTATAGAGTGCTCCACTACAATAACCATTTTAGTGAGCGCTAGACTAAGCCAATTATACATTTGGGGGTAAATAAAATAAGTAGAAATTCGTGGAAAATCAATAAGTTGTACGATACTCTGGTTCTTTCGGTAAAGTCACGTAAGTAGAAAAATAAAATACAAAATAATATATCACGACGTTTCGATCGCAACACAAGCGGTCGTCCTCAGGCGGAAAGAATAATCCAGCAGTGGAACTGCTGAACCAGTGAGAGAGCTGTTATAATAAGAGGTTATTTATGTGGCGATGGGAAAGCAAGTGGGGTCTGAGCTGGAAAGCCCGCTGGTTCAGCAGTTCCACTGCTGGATTATTCTTTCTGCCTGAGGACGACCGCTTGTGTTGCGATCGAAACGTCATGATTTATTTTTTTTGTTTTATTTTATTTTTCTACCAAAGTGACTTTACCGAAAGAACCAAAGAGTATGGATTCCTGCAGTCATGAAAGCTTCAAATCAAGAAGTTGTACTACTATTATTATTTTTCATTTTACCAAGACTCTCAGGCTGATACTGCCAAGTTTTCGCACAAGGGGGCGATGCTGCTATTGGAATTCATACATTGTATGGTTTTTTTTTAGATATGGGAGGTAATCAGGGACCTGGAGGAAGCCAATGCAGAACAGAGGGAAGAACATACAAATTCCACACAAAGGCACCATAAGTCTGGAATCAAACCCAGGCCCTTCTTGCTGCAAAGCACACATTTGGCCACTGTTGGTAACACTTGTGCTGTGTTGGGCACCCTTGATAACACTACTATAAGTGTTATCATCACCCCCTATATCTCATTTAAGCTGGGAGGAACTACGAACTGGACTGAGCGACTGCCAATGGTGAGGCCGCGATGTGTAAGGGGCGCCTCTCAGACCTCTCCATGTAGTGCTTGGAAGGGATGAGGCCGGCACGCATGTTGCTCTGCTCCGTGCGCTTGGCCTGCCACCACATGCTGTCATCCTGGCTCACCACTTGAAGCACCTCGCCACGCAAAAATGGTAACCCCGCCTCCTTGCATGGGATCGCCACGTCACCCCGCGGGTTGTAGTCAAAGAATGTGCGCAGGTAAATCTGCGAAGAGAATCGACAGCAAAATAGTAAAAATTGGAGGTGGGAGAGTGGCTCTGTGGTTTCAAAATGCCTGTCGCGGACAATGTACCGGCATCATTGATTTTCTTGGTATGAGTCTGGATTTCAGTTATTTATAATGAAACCAGTAAAGTAAGTTCATGGTATTTGGTTTAAAACCATTTCTTGGGACTGATGTGTCATTTTTTTTGGCCTGTTAGGCCAACTGAATTACTCCGAATGTTTAGAGGTAAAAAAAAATTGTTCATATCCTGGACCTCATGTGGCCATACCTTGGTGTCTTTGCTTTGGGATTCATCTTTAAAGGCTGGCACAATCTTGAATGTTATTGCACTCTGCGACTGTGCCTGTAGAACAATAAAAGAATTTTGCTGCGGTAACACATTAAGTATATATACACGTATCCAAAGCAAAAATGTAAAATAATACCTATAAATAAACATTTTATCTATACATTTTCTTGATAGGAAAATAAAATCACGATAATTAAAATAATGATACAATGGCAAATTATTTTGGGTGCTCAAATTTTTTAAAAAGGACGTTAATATTTTTGTATTTCCGACCCATCGCTACCGCGTGTAATATCTGAATTAGTTGTGGCCGCCAACCTCCCTCACCAATACCATACTAATCAGCATGGTGAAGTACAATCAAACAATCCGCCATGGCCAACATGGAATGGGAGATGCCTTTATCAATTCGCGGTTTAATATTTATAATGCTCATATTTAATTGTTGTAATGCTCAACGACACATAATTAAAACCGGACAGACAATTTTCAAACCTAAATCAAACCCTCTTTACGTTTAAACATGTATGATGCTCATCTCCAATGACAGTCCAGTGCTATTGGTAGAAATTCCACGTTTCTATGAGGGAGGCAGTAACTCTGTAGAACAATCAGTTGACTTCCCCGCACAGTGGTGCACAATTTGTCATCCACAGATATATTAACTCTTTCCCATTCCTATTCGTTTTCCTTCCGGAAGTCATCGGAATGCAACCGTAAGAAAAAACAATAGCGTTAATGGTACCGAGGCTCCCACAAGGCCATGTGGAAGGGCGTGGCACAGTTTGGTGCTAGCTATCATAAAGTGCGGTCGTGTCGCAACAGTTCCCTGCGGTGAGTACAATACAATGTCTATAAAAAACAGCAGAGCTATGCCTCTCTAATTAAAATTAACGCCAACCGCTCACGCATTCCGAGATTCAACGGTGAACACGACCCACCGTACAACTTGTCGACGTCTTGGAACAGGTAAGGGTTAAGAGATGTTTCAAATTGGACAGCAAATTAAGTATAAAATAAATTGAATTATGGTATTAGTTTGACAGTATATATGCTTACCAGGATCTGAATGACCTCTTCAGGCTCCTTGTTGTCAACGCGAACCCCGTTGACCTCCTTCAGCTCATCGCCTACATTGATGAGCCCTGCTCGGAACACAACCCACGTTCAGCCCTGCATTAATGCATCCAGTAAAAGATTAATCGTACACATAGCCTACTCAATTTGCCAATCACATGTGGGGCTGAAAATGCATGCACAGTGAGAGTACACGCCATCACGAGGTGGAGCTTTTGGATGTAAAAATCTGTAAAATTGTACAAGTCATAAAGACCCTGATGATGATGCCTCCACAATGGGGCACCTTGACTTGTCAGTCTTTAGAGATAACAATATTTAATCTTAGTCTATTATTAGTCATACATATCATGTACAGTAATTTGATTTAAAGAACATACGTTATATTATTATTCATTGACTGCTATGCTATTATTTTCTATAGCTGCATTATATTCCCCACAAGAAACATTCAATCGTATTGAGACACCAGATTATCAAATGGAGACAGAAAAGCGCTTAGTACCATCACTATTCAACTCACAGCCTCAAAAATAATATAATCATATAGAAATGTACATTCTATAACAGCCCATTCCTAAACCACGAAAACACTATTAGGCAGCAGCTGTGGTTCAAAATAATACCAACGATCATTTAGCTTTCCATTACTAATGAATCAATATGCAGTTTCCCTCCATCACCTGCTTACACAACAATTTATTTTACTCCAATCGGTAGCAAGTGAGCCGAGGCCATTACGCCCAGTGTGAAATGGATCTTTACAACAACCAAGGTTGTTTTGCTGTCACGCAATGCAGGTCTCAAGCTGAATTCCACAACATGCAGGACAAGCCTGCCCGCGATTTCAGCATACCAATGTAAGATTGTTACTGTGAGATTAAACATGACTTGCAGGGCAAACATGCCCTGCAAGTTTAGTGTATCACACACAAGTGATGATGTAATTGTGAAAAATGTTGGCGAACAGCGTCCCGTTATGCGAGCACTGACAAGTTCGTGCAGCTCATTCACCCTGCACGTTTCCATATCAATTAAATAATCAAAGTCAAACAAACTAACACATTAAAAATACACTGTTTATCAGTTAAATTGTTAGGGGTCAGGTATAGACAATATCTGCCGACAGGTTTATCCAGACTATACCGGTAAGTACAATTTCAATCATGATTTACTTATGAGGCAATGCGTTTGACGAGTAAGACACATATCAATACACCTTTTGTAAGGGATTTCAAACACATGATCTGAGAGTGATCCGGCTGAAGAAATTGAAAGGTATTTGCTTAAAGACATTCAACTTTAAATTTTCCTACATTTCTGAGCGTTACAAATCACAAATCATGTTTAAAATAACGGATAAAAAATAGGTAGATGCACACAAAACTCATTGGTTATGGTGGTAAGACATTGAATTTTATATTTCAATGTCCAATATTAAAGTGTAACTAATTAATACTATTACTTATTTTTCATATTCTATCTGCAGTTATATATATATGGTCTGAATCCCAACAATGGTGTTGTCTCTTTAAAATGCCACAAATTACAAGTGTCAGCAAACTGGTTCAGTGGTGAGCATCCTGACTACGAGACTATCTAGCAGCCTGGCCAAACACAAAAAGGTAAAACCCGTGCTAATATGAGAAATCACACAGGAGTGTTTGTCAAGCGGCATAGACGTGCTGTGGGTCGGACGCCGATTCCCGGTGAGGGCGCGCCCTGCATTGCTCACCACTGCGATCCGCCGCACCACCCCTCATGATCCGTGCCACCACGATCGCTCCCGTCTCCTCGTGCCGTCGGATGGTAGCACCCTAGTCCACAGCAGAGAAGTCAAAACCGTTTTTATTAAGCGCCAGAGAAGATTACACTGCACCTACCATTTGTAGTGTTTCCATTAGTGTGCATGCTTATATGGTACATTTAATTTTCATATATAAAGCTGCTATTCAAAACAACTCCTTTTCATCTAATTTAATTGCTTGTTATATTTATTACATTAAATTAGCCACCTGATATTGTAGAATAATTCTTTGTTTGGGCCAAGTAGTGCTGCCTGATGTATTTCACTCACAATCGGGATGGTCTGTGAGCTCAGTTGGGAGTTAACATGGCTAATCAATGCTGGGAGGTCACTGATATGCACACCAGTCTGAAGAAACTTACCAGTGGTCATCTTATGAAAAGATTGGACCCTGCCATGGGCAAGTAGAATTTCAATTGTTCGTTCATGGTTACGAATGGGAAAGTGTGTTGCCCCAATACTGGTTTTAAGAATAACACTGACTTGACAGAAACTCCTCAGTGATTCTTAAGATGGATCTTCAACAGGGTCCTATAATGAAATCATTGACCAGTTCCATTGGCTGCTTGAGGTGACGTGTTCAGATTATGAAATTACTTGAAGATCACTACTTATACACAATCCAAACATTAATCATGTTTTTCAATGGCTCAGTAAAGTTAATAAAATGATAAATGCTATAACATCTTTAAAATGAGCAAATTAATATAATTTTACTTCGCAAAATGTGTTGCTAATAATCTCACCTTAATCATTTTCCCATACACATTGTTTCATCAGGTCTGCGGATGCCAATTAATGCTGTCTACAATAGCCCTCTTTCGCAGCCTGAGAAACATATTTTATTGCAATTCAGCTCTGCCCATGCATGCTGTGGCTAGGTATGAAACATATGTCTAGGATATAATTACTTGTGGAGCATGGATTTGAATATACTCACGTGCATACTTTATATTATGCTAAAATTATGTGGTATAATATTTTTAGTATCATGTATGAACCAAATATTTTAGACATTGTTTTGTTACATTTGGGGAACCAGTTTTCATTAGGACACAAAATATGAGGTTTCAATGTACGAGTTAAATAACAAGGAAAAAATATTTTCCAGAATATTATGTGCATTTTATTGCACCAAAAACATAGGCAACTGTAGAGCAAATTAAATAATGAGATAACAACAATCCACAAAGAATGTGGAAACAACACTTAGAATTCCGCAGAGTCAAATGGATGCACTGTATGGGTCATGAAAAATAAATGTGGTACATCATTCTTAAGACGTAGTGACTGCAATTGGCCGACTATGAATGGCAATGCAGGGCCAGACGGCCTCCACTGCAGCCATATCTTTCTGCTCTTACCAGGGGCTCCTTGTTCTTGACGAGCCGGATAATTTTGACCGACTCTTCATCGTCATCAAGATCATCGGGCAGTGGTGGCAGAACCGGGACAAAGTCTTTTTGTGCCACAGAATCGTGCGCAGACAGCACTGCCTGCGAAATAGCCACAGAGTGATAGCACATTGCTTATCGTGAACTCCAATTGTGGGAGGAGCCTCGTCGCTCACGGCAAATCCCATGTACCCAACCGTGAACGCCAGTCATTCCTCTTGAGCCTCAGTCACTGACCTTGAACCCATTCAATCGGCATTCGTCAAAGCGACTCGCAATGAACACTTGTCATTCCCTACGAGCCACAGTAACTGAACTTGAAATGTAGTAAATTCACAATAAACCTATTCACTCATCATCATCCAAAGCTACTGACAATGAAGTGTAGTTAATCCCCATATTCCCTCAGTCACTCACCTTAAGCTTAGTAATAAACTTTGTTCCCTCCCCATTAACACAATCTACCGACTATGAACCCATCATTTCCCTGAAACCTCAGTCAACACCATGAATTTTGGCCAATTGCCATAAATCCAAGTTAATAATGGCAAGTCCCAGTTATTTAGCATGTACCCAAGTAATTTACCTTGCAGCCCATTATTCGGTCACCATGAACCAACACTACTCACTGTGAAACATTGTCACTTAGCAGAAATATCAGTAATGCAAACTGAACCTCTGTCATTAACTATCTCTTCCGCATCTGTGGAAGTAAACAGCTATTCCACTTCATTAGACCTCTTTTGCCAGTACCAAAATATAATAAGGTTTTTCCCCTTTTTTCTGGCAACAAAACTGAAACCTTTTTACAAGGATTCATGTCTGCATTAACCACAATACCTGCAGTCAAAATGCAAACAAGAATCCTTGCAAAAAGGTTTCAGTTTTGTTGTCAGAAAAAAGTGGAAAAACCTTATTATTATATTTTGGTACTGGCAAGAGGTCTAATGATGTAGATGCTCACCCCGAGCCCTCATAACTTTGATAGTGCATTGTCTTTGAGCTGTACGCCTTTTGGCGTCATCTGGTCGAGCACCAATTGGGTCGAGGCTCAAAAGAAAGCCGTTCCTTGGTGTGGACCAATCAGTTTCAAGGACAATGCATATATTATCATAGTATGTTTTTTGTTTGCATTGACTGGAGGTATTGTGGTAATGCAGACATGAATCCTTGTAAAAAGGTTTCAGTTTTGTTGCCAGAAAAAAGGGGAAAAACCTTATTATTAGCTATTCCACTGTAGTCATCTCAACGTTCACATTATTTCCATTGCACATATATAAAGAATGCATATCAGGCAAGAGATGAGGAACTATTTACTGATTATTTAAAAATCTCTCATTTGTTAAAAATGTATTCAAACAACAGAGCTTCCAATTACATTGAGTGGAATGGGAATTACAGTTTTTTTATTGCTGCATACAGTAATATAACCTATAGAGTAATGCCAACACATTCATTAGCACCCAATGTTTACATAATTTCCTTTTGGGATTCAGTGTGCATTACATTTGTACAAAGGGCAGCATTAGCATTCTGAGAACAAGGCACACCAAATATAGCAGACTAATCCGGTAGCTTGTTGATCACTGACAACACGGCCACTCAAATGGTTTTAAAAGCCTCCCGGTTTGATGTACTAATTACTCAGTTCTTACATTTATATAAAAAAAGAAAAATATTCTTATCTGCATTGTTAGAAGCCTTCTGAAACATCCCTTCAACAATCACGAACATCTCAGCTACGATTTAAACACTCTATGGATAAAACACATGCAACCCTTTTCATGTAAATACAAAAAGTTAAACACGGCTTCTTCATTGGGAATAGCCTGTTGAATAGTGCATTAGCATTTTATAACGACCTCAACATTTCAATTCCTGCTGCCACTCTGTTGCGTATATGTGTACAATACCAAGGTGTGCCATTTTCCTCAGATAATAGATAGAATGTTATTATCAGTAACTTTGTATATAGATGTATTTGAAAACTGCAAAAATCCCAACTATAAAAACTACCCAGGTTTCTCTTGGAAATAATGATGTCCAATGGGCTCAAGTGGCGATTCAATGTATTAATGCTCAGGCTTTATTCATGTAGGCTAAATTTAGCCACGTTCATGCTGGCACTGTAAAACAAATGGTCGCAATGAGATTAGGATTCATTATAAGAGATTACAAATCGATTTGATAAAAAAAAATGAATTGATGCCAATAACTTTTCTGAACACTAGTTTCACGTTTGAAAAATCCAATGCAATTGCAGGATAGAAGTTTTCTAGGAGCGTTCAAGCCACGAATAACTTAGCTATGGAAGTCCTTTTTTCTGCCTTTCCAAGTGTGAAGTTCATGACGACAACTTGTGCCTCACCTTGACATGTGGCTTAGAAAGAAGTGTTAAGAGTTCCCTGACATCACTGTTTGTCGGTTGACCTTGTAGTTCCTCTGTCAACTGAAAACAAAGATATAACAAGCATTACTCCAAATCTTAGTTGAACACTACTTTCGTATGACCAAATCAAAAGCAATGATTATAATTTCAGTGCTCAGTGATTTAGCTATTCAATTGCTGTATGAGAGTTGGTCAATTGCTGATACACCACATTCAAATGTTTTGGGCCAAGCACAGTTGTATGGCCCATGGTTTGGTGTTCATAGCAGCAGCTGCACATAGCAGTCAGTTTAACACCTCTAATTAGCATAGTTGGCTACGTACGGTGCGAAAGAAGTTCAACATACATACTACTCATAATGGCAAACACTCAAACGTCCGCACAGTGTACCTGTCCAGGGTACTTAAGACTGAAGTGCACAAAATTAAGTTACCAATATATGAAGTAAGCACACAAGAAAAATCAGTGGGAAAGGCTTACATCATCAGTAAGAGTAGCAGAATTGGCCAGCATGGGAGCAGGGCTGATCTTAATGTAGCTCTTTAATTTGTCATGAACCTGAAAATAAAACAGACACAACAGCAATAACAATAACTATAGCCATTTGTACATGCATTCAGTTTTCAATCTCCAGCTACCATCTGGGCTGCCATGATGTTTAACATAAACGTTATGAATAAGCATGCGTCCCACGTTGCATTTTCTGAATTATTCACCATTTTAAGTCTACATCTGCAGGGCCCAACTTCCAACAGCAAGGTTAGGGATATCCTTGTAAAGTATGTATGGAGTTTAATAGTGCAGTTTTGGATACAGTGACGGAAAAAAGTATTTGATCCCCTGCTGATTTTGTACGTTTGACCACTGACAAAGAAATGATCAGTCTATAATTTTAATGGAAGGCTTATTTGAACAGTGAGAGACAGAAAAACAACAAGAAAATCCAGAAAAACGCATGTCAAAATGTTATAAATTCATTTGCATTTTAATGACGGAAATAAGTATTTGACCCCCTCTCAAATCAGAAAGAATTATGGCTCCCAGGTGTCTTTTATACAGGTAACGAGCTGAGATTAGGAGCACACTCTTAAAGGGAGTGCTCCTAATCTCAGCTTGTTACCTGTACAAAAGACACCTGTCCACAGAAGCAATCAATCAATCAGATTCCAAACTCTCCACCAGGGCCAAGACCAAAGAGCTCTCCAAGGATGTCAGGGACAAGATTGTAGACCTACACAAGGCTGGAATGGGCTACAAGACCATTGCCCAGCAGCTTGGTGAGAAGGTGACAACAGTTGGTGCGATTATTCACAAATGGAAGAAACACAAAAGAACTGTCAATCTCCCTCGGCCTGGGGCTCCATGCAAGATCTCACCTCGTGGAGTTGCAATGATCATGAGAACGGTGAGGAATCAGCCCAGAACTACACGGGAGGATCTTGTCAATGATCTCAAGGCAGCTGGGACCATAGTCACCAAGAAAACAATTGGTAACACTACGCCGCGAAGGACTGAAATCCTGCAGCGCCCGCAAGGTCCCCCTGCTCAAGAAAGCACATATACATGCCCGTCTGAAGTTTGCCAATGAACATCTGAATGATTCAGAGGACAACTGGGTGAAAGTGTTGTGGTTAGATGAGACCAAAATGGAGCTCTTTGGCATCAACTCAACTCGCCGTGTTTGGAGGAGGAGGAATCCTGCCTATGACCCCAAGAACACCAACCCCACCGTCAAACATGGAGGTGGAAACATTATGCTTTGGGGGTGTTTTTCTGCTAAGGGGACAGGACAACTTCACCGCATCAAAGGGACGATGGACGGGGACATGTACCATCAAATCTTGGGTGTGAACCTCCTTCCCTCAGCCAGGGCATTGAAAATGGGTCGTGGATGGGTATTCCAGCATGACAATGACCCAAAACACATGGCCAAGGCAACAAAGGAGTGGCTCAAGAAGAAGCACATTAAGGTCCTGGAGTGGCCTAGCCAGTCTCCAGACCTTAATCCCATAGAAAATCTGTGGAGGGAGCTGAAGGTTCGAGTTGCCAAACGTCAGCCTGGAAACCTTAATGACTTGGAGAAGATCTGCAAAGAGGAGTGGGACAAAATCCCTCCTGAGATGTGTGCAAACCTGGTGGCCAACTACAACAAACGTCTGACCTCTGTGATTGCCAACAAGGGTTTTGTCACCAAGTACTAAGTCATGTTTTGCAGAGGGGTCAAATACTTATGTCCCTCATTAAAATGCAAATCAAGTTATAACATTTTTGACATGCGTTTTTCTGGATTTTTTTGTTGTTATTCTGTCTCTCACTGTTCAAATAAACCTACCATTAAAATTATAGACTGATAATTTCTTTGTCAGTGGGCAAACGTACAAAATCAGCAGGGGATCAAATACTTTTTTTCCCTCACTGTACATACAAACTAAATATGCACACATTTATTTTTAGATAAAGAATTAAAAAAAATACTCTGTGAATGCTTCCACATGTATTTATTAGTTACGGTTATCTAATATTGTGCAGTCTGTGCCACTCTTAAAGAGTTTAAAAAAAGACCCAGGATCTAAACAAATTAATTGTTGAAAGAGAAAAGGAATCTTCCTTAAATAAAGCAGGAAGAGGAAAACATTTTGCATTTGTTTGCAGAAATGTTTTCCAAGACAGAGGTGGCCAGCATTTCAGGCCATTGTTCACAAAGCTCAACAATGACAACCCAAGTGGTCTGAAAACAACAGGAAGGATTTCAGATCAGCTACCCCTTCCCCATGGATAACAGGAAATGCAAATACAACGATCCGTGATTTTAAAAAGCTATACTGTATTTGTATTGGCTTTCTCAGCTTTAAGTCAGCTAACTGATGAAACACAATAAAAAATTTTATGGTGCAATAAAGGATGAAAGCAAATTTTCTACGTGGCCCAAAATTCTAAGACCCACCGCACAAACACTTGACATCGATTTACAATTACTGCATTGTATATCGTATGTTTTTCTTCAAGAACGAATTTACTGAAATGTTTGATTTATTCACAAATGAGTTGCAAAGGAAATGCTTTTTTTTAACAACTTTTCAAAATGCGATGTAGTAAATGTTATGTAAGTTGAGTTTGCAGATCCCGGTATGTAGTGGGTGTAGAAAAGGTCATAGTTAAAGGTTTGAGTGTTAATGGAACATCGATTAAAAATAACGTGGGCTGCAAGGTTATGTAGGAACTGAGGTTAGGTGTGCAAACTGGGGTATAGGGTTTCTAAAAGGTCACAGGTGCGGCTAAGAGTGACAACCAAGTCATGAATGGCTGTGATGGTTACTTGTCTAGAGAAGAGTATCAGTCAGCTTATAGGAGGGCACTACGCTGATGAGGGTGTGTTTGGTAGAGGTGAAGCAGTGCCTTCACGAGGGACTGCAGGCTGGCATCTCCACAGATATCCCGTAAGAAGGTCATGTCCTCCGGGCTGCCCCCGTGCTCCTGAAGTTGCGATGGGAGGGTGGCCAGGACGTCGCTCATCGCTGGGGGAACAATGAACAAAACATGCACATCCATGTTCTCACCTCGCAGGGTGGGTGAAAGCCCATTTGAAGTAAATCTGACCAGGCTCCTAAACATGTAATTATTTAAAATGTATTTACATCACAATGTACCAGCAGATGTTTGGTATATGTAGTTTTGTAGATTTGTCCATTTTATCCAGATAATGGATCAACAGCTAACAGATGAATTGGGCCAATTGAGTTCACAAACTAAATGAACTAAATAAGTCTTGCAATGACTAAAAGATCTCAAAAACGACCGCTCTGCTCGGCTAACCTCCGTTCCTTGGCGTGGCCGACAGTGCTGGCATTCCGGCCCCTGCCGAGTCGGGCATGCACGAGGCTCCGGTGCTGGCACAGACAACAAGATGGAACTTGTTACGAGAACTCCGCGTCAATCACAGCAACACCTGACGCTTCTCGCGTACGTTCATCAGCAAGCGCCCCCCCCCCCCCCCAAGCCCATCACACCATCACAGCTGCCTGCCTCACTGTGACCCACAGAGACACAAAGACAGCAGGACAGGGTTGTGTTTGGAATTTGGAAATAATGGTGATCATCACTTTAAATGATGAACTATCATTACCATTTTTTGCCATGTGACATTCCACTAATTGCAATTACTTTTAGTTGTAGGCCTGAATCATGGGACAGTTCTACGAGAAAATGTTTACAGTTGTAAAGCTAATGAGAGGATTAAACACATTAACTTGAGGGTTACTCTGAGAAACTAATCAGTAATTAACACCCTACCCATCTCTCAATTCCTCCAAATGTAGGATTTTTTTTATATTCTATACTGAAACACATGGTTAAAAGCAAGACATTGGCAGATATTTTTATTTACAGGTAAGGATTTGCAAGCAAGGATGCAAATGTCACAAATGTCCTGCGGCAAAGCATGTAAACAAATATCAGTGTACTCTAACCTATACCGCATAATTGATATACATATCTAATCATGTATATATACTACCTTTATTTGCCATGATGCACAAAAAAGTTCAGTATTTCTGTCATGATACAAATGATCATTCCAAGTTAAGTAATTTTTCAGCTTCTAAAAGTTGTCAATCATTACTTATATTGTCCACCCCCCCCACCACCCCCTGAAATTCAAATTAGATTCAGTTACACTTAACATTTCAAACACAGTAGACATAAATCAAGCATGCATGCACACACAACCAAACACAAGAAGGCACAAGGCACATGGACTAAATGGCACCAGGGGTCCCTTACGGCAGCCAAAACCCGAGATTAACGGCGCGCGATAATGAATTCCCCCCTCAGTACGCAGATGGGGCACTAGTGTCCATCTCTTTGACTCCTGCTCATCATTCCCCTCGTAGCACAATGGCCCCTCCATTTTGTCCATCTAAAGTACAATGTGAACAGATCATATAAATGAAACATTTGTGTACGAATATACGTGCAAATAATGATTGAATTACATAATTAATTCACGTATTTATCAAGACGTTGGTTATTCACGTGTAAGCACACACATTGAAAAACGATGTGAAAATGGCCAAATCACATACACATTCTGTTATGTTGGTATATTGTTTTCTTTTTATGGAGAGATAATTAGCAAAAGCCATTTCCACAACATACAAATCAGGTGTTTTTAATAATATATGGTGTTCACATGCATCCGTGCGTGGTCTGCAGGTCCCTGATGTTATACATGCATGGGATAACAAGGCCATGCAGCAAGGACAAAGGTGGTAGGCACCTGCATCATGTATTCGTATTAAGGCAGCTTCAAATACATATATCACTATCTCGCTGGAAGTACAGCAAGCAGTTGATGAGTCGGCTTCTTCTGGATATTTGATTATTCTCCTTGGTGTGAATGGGATTTTTTTAAGTTCTACATTCACTTAAATGTAACATTTCTAAATAAAGAAATTGATTACATAAAAAAAAACAACTTTTAACAAGTCTTGAAAAAAATGTATGCATACAAAACCAGACTTATATAAATTATGCAACAATAACATTCACAACCCATGGAAGTGAAAGATGATTACAAAATCGTCTGGAACGACCCAATCCCATCATACCTTAAAAGATAAGTATGCTTTGAGCCTGGATAGTGTTTTGATGAGTAACCACCACCATGTGCAAAAATACAGGTGTAATAGGCTTTGTGGGAAGTTGGCAAAAGTGGAGAAAATGCACTCTCTCTACTCCTATATTCACAAATTCACACTTCTCTGTGTGGTGAAGTAAAGTCAAATAACCATCAGGGCCCATCCAACATTGGATTGACAATAACGGGCGGTACATGTACATATACGTGTAAATCACTTTTACGAATGATAAATATTCTCCAGCAGATGTACAGTACCCGAAATGCCATGCATTTTTTCCAAGCGCTGTGCCATTTAAACTCCGGGAAAGCCACTGTCGTGAGCCTAGGTCATTCAGAGCGCATTAGCGTGAACATCGGCAGATGCTGCTTAGCATTTCAGTTTCCTGATGTGTGTGCACGCAACTCAAATTACAGAGGCGACAGCGGCCACTGCACCAGACCAACCGGTGCAACGGCTAAAAGTAATACGATACAGTCCACTTCTATTTCCACCTACGAGAGACATTTGTGTGTTACGGTGGTTGTGTGGAAAACACACCGAGCAGCTTTGTGAAAATAAGCAAAACAGGGCTCCGAAAATAGACGAATAGACCTAGCTAGAATGATCGTGTTGTGTTACTTGCTCAGCACAAAACACTGTGACTTAATTCGTTCACTGTGATGGGCTCTATAATTTGAAAAAGTGTAATCGTTTTTTAGCCGGATAAAGGTATTTTAATACGTTAATTTTTAATGGCAATGTGACTCAAAGCTCAAAAGGACGTTTGATTGTTCTCAGATTCGTTGGCAGTCCTAATCTTGATGCGAAAGCTCCGCATTATTATGACTCGGTCCTGTCTAGCCAAAGGATGATTGCTGATGTTACAAAAGATCGGTCATTATATTATTGATTCCAGAAGAATGATGAAGCAAATCTACTTTTGAGCAGGATTTGAACTCATGACCTTCTATATCGAGAGGATGATTTTGTAATCATTATTGGTATGTGTTATTTAGGCAGGAAGATTGCTCTGCACAGCAGGACTGGCAGCAGGGATGACAATGTGTGTTGCTCATAGCTGTGAAATAATTGTATAAATAATAGGGCTGTTTAAAAAAAAAAGGCAGGCAGAAGGCACGACAGATGAAAGGGTGAAACATTCCCGCTTCCTTCATTGACATCCACATCCCCATGGGATGAAATTTTTTTTAAACAAAGAAAAAAAAACAGTTTTCACCTATTTACATTCAAAGCTCATTTAATAGGTTCCGTGTATAGTAACCACCTAAGCATAACTGACCTCCACATTAATTGGTATATACAGTAACCAACCAGTAGTGGCTGACCATTGCTGCTGCAGTAATTTATATGCTGCTTCCTGTGATGTCGCATACCCTTGTGGAAGAGGTCATGATGGTTAAGAGCAGATGGATACTATTTTTGGTTAGCTATTGTTTGTGATGGGAATTATTTGTTTACTATAAAAGAGACCATAAAAAGATTTCAAAGGTTATATTGGATGTGATAAAACTTAATTACAATTGTAAAACAGTTACCTCATTGTAATGGGTCTTATCTAGAGCCATTTCATTTAAAATTCCTGTGATCTATTAAAGGCCAGCTGGGTCATTTATTGCATTATTCTTCCTGTTATTTGCTTTGTGAAATCAGTAAATGAGTTCCTTCACCACTGTACCTGCAAAGATAACAGTAAAAGGAGCACAGTGAAAGAATCAATTTCTGTTTCTATCGTCCACGACATTTTCTAGGTTTTTGTTTTTAGAAACGTGTCAAAATATATATTTAATCGCACTCTGCAAAGCCTCGATTACTGTAGCTCTTTCTACAACTCAATTCCCTAAGTTCTAACAGGCAGTGGGACGGAGCAGGTCATCGCATACGCCAGTCAGACCCTGAGCGGGGCTGAGCTGAACTATTGCGTGACCCGTCAAGAACTGTATGCCGTGATCTTCGCGTGTAAACAGTTCCGGCCGTATTTGTACGGCAGGAAATGTCGGGTACGCACTGACCATTATGCCCTGCAGATCCTCCTTACATTCAAGGAACCGCGAGGGCAGATGGCCCGATGGCTGGCGCAGTTTCAGGAGTACGACCTGCAGATCGAGTACCGAGCAAGGCGGACGCACGCTAACGCGGACGCTTTGTCGAGGCGGCCTGCGGTGTGCGCCGAGACGAGGGCGGAGGAAGCCTGCCCGTGCTTCACAGGGGGACGTTGCCGACAGGCGGCGGGCCCCCGGCAGCGCGCTGAAACTAAACCCCCTCCCCCGAGAGAGAGTGCGGTATGCGCCACAGAGACCCCGGCAGAAGGAGCAGGGGACCCAACGGACCACCCCACCCTGACCGGGCGGATCCAAGGGGACGTCGGCTGCGCCTTCCCGGGCCTGGACGACGAACAGCTGAGACAGACCCCGCAGCGGGACGCGGATCTGGCAGCGGTGGCAGCGGCCCTAAGAGAGAAGAAGAGCGCCCTACCAGGACCCTGGAGTGGTTTGTATACCCGGTTGTGCGTGCAGAACGGGGTGGTACGAGAGCTAACCGAAGCCGGCCAGCCGGGGTGCATCTGTGTTCCCGCCCAGGTGCGACCCCAGCTGCTGAGACTGGTGCACGACCACCTGCTCGAGGGCCATGACGGGGAACGGCGCACTCGGAAGACCCTGCGTCGCCAGTATATCTGGCCCAAATTAGCACAAGACGTGGCCGCCTCGGTACAGGGCTGCCGCACGTGTCAGCAATGCGGGCCGAAACCGGCGCGATATCAGGTACCCCTGAGACCGTTCCGCATCAGTCCAACGAACCAGCTGGTTGGGATCGACCTACAAGGGCCATTCCCGCGATCCCACCGTGGCAACCGATATATTCTCGTGGCGGTAGAGTACTTCACGCGCTATCCCGTAGCGGTGGCAATCCCCGATAAGACAGCCCTTGTGGTAGCCCGAGCGTTCGTGGAGCACTACGTACTTAAGCACGGGATCCCCGAACGGGTCATTACCGACCGAGGGAGTGAGTTCGAGGCCGAGCTGTTTCAGGCGCTGTGCCGCGAGTTCGGAATCCAGAAGGACCGAACCAAGGCGTACCACCCCCAAGCGAACGGTATGGTGGAGCGGATGAACCAGACCCTAGCCGGGAAGCTCAAACGCATGGCGGCCGCATATCAGCAGGACTGCCCTACGCCCTGTTCACCTACACTACCACGGTACACACATCTACGGGACAGACCCCGTTCCTAATGATGTTTGGCCGTGAGGCTC